TAGACGAGGTAACGTTTGCTCTCGGGGAGTTTTCATTTAGAAAAAGCTTCGGGGGGGGGGGGGGGGGGGGGGTCGTACATGAGCTTGTGCTTGATGGGGAGGCTGCGCCTCGTCGGCTGGTAGAGCTGCTGCCTCAGCTCCCCGGTGAGGTCTCCACCTACTCCTAGCCCGTCATCGTTGTCGTACGACTCGTTGCCCGAAGCCAGGCCCACGGGAGCGTCCAGCACCTGCAAAAGTGGCCGTCATTGTTGCGGTTTCATGTTGCTGCTTATGCCCTGCTAAACCCAGATACGAAGAAATAAAAACAACCAACCACACGTATTTTCCCTCATGTTTTGATTGATTGTGGTCACTGCTGTTGTTGTTGTCCACATGCTAATGTTGCTGTGGTTTTCGGGAATGCTTCCATGATGTTGCTCCTCAACAGGCACAACTTGAATCCAAAAACCGAGACACGCAGGCCTGGGTTTCCAAACAAAACACACGCAAACAAACGACCAAGAAAACAAGCAAAAACAAACACACGACAACATACATAGATAGACCGGTTGTATCTCGAAACAAAACAAATAACCACTAACACAAGCCAAAATCTCGAACGGGCAGTCTTCTGCGATTGAATGTAAACACATGTTCTACAAACCTTTTTAGCGATGCGGTAGTTCTTCTTGACCCTGCAGAGGCTGGCGAACTGCAGCCAGGCCTCAATGTCCTCCTCAGGCGTCAGCACCAGCCCACGCAGCATCAGGATGCGCTGCATGACGGACACCTCTGGCTTGCACCCCTGCCTCAACACGCATCGTGGCAGCGAGAGGGCACACACACGGATTCAACACTCTGGAAGCACTGACCCAAACCGGAATAAGGATCGAATCGATTGAAGTAGCATTGATTGACCTATCGAGGCCGGAGGCAACCGTGCAGCTTTTTTACCTCTGGCGACAAACGTCCTCCCTCCCAGTCCGCCCAGAGCCGGGAATTTTCTGAGAACTTTCTACGCGGCTCTCCGGCCCGCGGCGAGATCATCAGACATGGCACAGAGATGATGGATGGATGGATGGATGGATGAATGGCTCGCCGGCCCGAGGCGAGACCATCAGACATGGCACAGAGGAGGATTGATGGATGGATGGATGGATGAATGGCTCTCCGGCCCGCGGCGAGGCCATCAGACATGGCACAGAGGAGCATCGATTGATGGATGGATAAATGGCTCTCGGGCCCGAGGCGAGGCCATCAGACATGGCACAGAGGAAGATTGATGGATGGATGGATTGAAGGATGGGTGGATGGATGCCTCGTGCGCGTTCCGCACGCCCCTTGGCAAGAGTCGGTCTGTTCGTCTTCTTCACAATCAGACCGCCTTCCCGAGAAATCAAGTCCATGACGAAACAGAAGAGGGAGGGGGGTACGCAGACCCCGTCCATAACCCTGACCAACAAACTTCCCCCGATCGCATGCTTTGTCCAATATGTTCACAAAATCGAAATACCCTGCGAAAGGCGCTGTCACATTGTGGGGGTCCTGAAGCCACGGGACGGCTGTGATATTCTTCCTACGGTGAGGAGGATATTCTTCCTACGATGAGGGGGATATTCTTCCTACGTTGAGGAGGATATTCTTCCTACGGTGAGGGGGATATTCTTCCTACTGTGAGGGGGATATTCTTCCTACGGTGAGGAGGATATTCTTCCTACGGTGAGGGGGATATTCTTCCTACGATGAGGGGGATATTCTTCCTACGGTGAGGAGGATATTCTTCCTACGGTGAGGGGGATATTCTTCCTACGATGAGGGGGATATTCTTCCTACGGTGAGGAGGATATTCTTCCTACGGTGAGGGGGATATTCTTCCTACGGTGAGGAGGATATTCTTCCTACGGTGAGGGGGATATTCTTCCTACGGTGAGGAGGATATTCTTCCTACGATGAGGAGGATATTCTTCCTACGATGAGGAGGATATTCTTTCTACGGTGAGGAGGATATTCTTCCTACGATGAGGGGGATAATCTAACTACGGTGAGGGGGATATTCTTCCTACGGTGAGGAGGATATTCTTCCTACGGTGAGGGGGAGCTTGAGGAGCACGGGCCTACAGCGCGGCGGCGCCGGGGAGGGAAATAGGCAGGAAGGAGGCTTTTGTTGGGCCGGGGTTCGATGCCATGCAGGGGCGGTTCGAGCTCCTTTTTCGCCGGGGCAGCGCCAAGCCCGCCCACGGGGCACTGAAAGGCGGGGCACCTGTTTCCGGATGTCAATTCCGACGGCAGGAAGGCAGCAGGGGGATGTTGCCTCTCACGGCTCCCGGCAGGACGGCCGCCCAGCAAGGGCGGGCGTGCGCGGGCGGCGTACCTTGGCCGACAAACTCACTACCGTAGGCACTACACCGGACACCGGCGCTATTCAGAACAGGAATATAGGTGTTAGTTATAGGAGCGGACCCTCTTGCCCAGAGGTTTGACCGGCACTACACCAGGCATGGGCACTATTCAACCGGGATGAAACAGGCACCCCTACTGTAAAATAGTATTTCTGGTCAGTAACACAGGAGCAAACCGGCGATGCCCAAGTATAACGCGAGAGGGAACACCGCCTTACCGCTCCGATCCTCCCTTAAACACCCACCTACCAACAGAGCCGACCGCATCCAACCTGTAGTGTTAAGACCACTGCAGGTTGGATACGGTCGGCTCTGTTGGCATTCAGGTGTTTTAGGGAGCTCCCGAGCGGCGAGGAGGTGCGAAAACGGTGTCGCCCCGTAGCGTCGTACTTGACCACCACCCTGGTCGACACGGAAGCACTCGCTGACAAGAGTTTTTTGTACGCGTGCGGTTGCGTTTGTTTTTCACTCCAGAGCGGGCATCGAACTAATAGTACGAGGTTAAGCACTTGAACAGCGTCAAGAAAACTACGTACCACTACGCCAAATACTGCCTTCGTTCGGTTCGGAAAAAAAAAAAAAAATATATATATATATACAAGGTCTCCCTTCGGGACGTGCGTGCCAAGCCTCGCATGGCCCGAAGAGGGGCCGTCTGTCTCATTTTTGATGGGCAGTTTCGTAACGCTCGTATCCCGTACAACACATCGCGCACGTAGTTAGATTGGAGCCAGGTCAAGCGGACAACAACTCGCCAGAGAAAAAAAACAGACTTCTTCTACAATGATGTCTTGTGATTGATGATGGCAGATTTCCAATGAAAAACCGAATTTGATCCAAAACAACACAACAGACAGAACATGCTCAACACTGCGGGTGCATGCGCCAGGACTTGTCTACAGCAGCAAGCAGCCTTTCACTCGACCAGCTGCGAGGTGCGAAAGAGAAAACCTTCGTGCTGTTGGACATTATTGCGATGACACGAAAAGTCACAGCGATGTGGAAGCAGCAAATGAATGAATGAATGAATGTGGAGATGAACAGCAAGAGGCGAATATTTCAAACTGTCGTTTTCGATGGGTTTCAGAATTGGTTCGCCAGGTTTTGTCTGCGCGGAAAGCGCCCCCAGGGTATAGACAGTTTTCGCAACCTTGACCTTCAACCCCGCGCGTCACGGAGGCCTACCGAGCTACGGGCACGAGCGTTAAAATACCGACGAGCCTCCTGCGTGCCCCTGGGAAGGAATCGCGAGAAAAGACTGCTTGCCTCGAGAGAAAGAAATACCGAAGAATGAAAAGTGACCAAACTTTAAATGTACAAATATCCGTCACGCGTCTGGGTGTGGAAACCTACAGTATGCCAGATGACGAGTGAAACGTGCGTGACGGAAAAAAAAGAAAAAAAAAGAGAAGGTCGTCAGGCCGGTTGCAGATGCGTCGAGCTGGCGAACTTGTACGTTTTGCTTCGCCCTGCAAGTGCTCCTCGAACGTATAGATAGTAACATGGGACTGAGTAGAGACCGGAGGGATTCTTAATGTGAAGACACTCACAACCACCACGACGACCGGTTCAGTAGTGGTACACTACGGTCACATCTCGGAAACACACACATGTACGGATATAACATGAGACTGAGTAGAGACCGGAACGACTCCATAGTGTGAAGACAGCACCAAAAAAACACACCCCCACCACCGATCGAGATAGCCCCAAGAGAAATCAATCCACCGACAGACTCTGTACTAAGTGGTTGGTCTGCTTGACATCACACCACTATTGTCCCATCTCCAAACACACACTGCTTGACATCACACCACTATTGTCCCATCTCCAAACACACACATACATACACGCCCGATGGATTGAGCTAGCCGCGAGAAAAATCAATGTTGATTTACCCCGAGCTTTTGTTTCCAGGTTTTCCGGAGGCGTTTCCAGAGTTTTTGAGCGTTTGGTCCCCCCCCCTTGGTGCCTGGAGTTTGCCCTGCGGGGCCCCCTGGGGCGTGGGAGCCGCTTGGACCGAAAGTACTGGTTTTGGAGAGGGCGCTCACAGACCTTGGGGGGGGGGGGGGGATCCGCAAACGGTAACAGCAGGTATGTACGACTATGGTAATCCGACCATTTATGTATGAAGGCCTCGTTGGTGGAGGGCAGATTTTTGAAACGAGGACAATTGTGTCGCATTGTGTGCACGACTGGAACAGCAGCACGCCACCGGAGCGAATGAATGGGCTTACCTCGCTGTGTGACGATCTTCCAAGCTTTGCAACACTGCCCATCACAGCCAAAAATCGCGACACATCAGCACCACAATTCATGTGTCACAACTACAACCCTGAGGCACGGACTTCGGTCATTGGCCAGGTGAGGCACGGACTTAGGTCATTGGCCAGGTGAGGCACGGACTTCGGTCAGTGGCCAGTGGCACTCACCTCTTGATGTCGACAATCTCTTCCAGCTCCGCGAGCTGCTGCACCATGACCATGCTGTTGTAGGCCCGCTTGTACGACTCTCCGATGAGAGTCGTGAAGGTGTTGTCCAGCAGCTGGCGAGCATGGTTCACGAACCTTGGTACAAAGAAAAGATACACACAAACAGGGCCAGCTTGTCATCAGACACATTGGCTCGGAGTCAGGAGGAAACACCAAAACGTAAGATGTTGTCGCTGTCACTAGTCTCCCTGGCGTGGTTGGCCTTCTCCAATCTGAAATATTGTATCTTCTCGACACGAAAACTGGAATGAATGCCTGTAGCTCTTCCGATATGTTCCCACGCCTCGTTAGAGTTTGTAGGCGGGGGGATTGGCGTGCCTCTCTGCCTCTAGCTTGGTCTCAATCTACATTGCTAGGTGGGGGGATTGCCCTGCCGCTTTGCCTCTACAATAGCTTGGTCTTGCCTCTAGCTTGGCGTCAATACATGTTGCTACGTTTGCCTTTCCATAGCGGAGGGCGCTATACGGGAGGAAAAATAAATGTCACAAACGGGAGCACGACCACGAAAAAAAGGTAAGAAATTCTGACGCAAGGGTGGAGTCGTCCTAGGTAAACGTTGGGGAGATGTGACCCCCTTAACAGAGGTCGTAATCTCCCCCTCCAGCAGCAGTCTATCCAATTCCTCATACAAGTAAATAGAAGCACAAACTGTCCTTCGATAGATGCCGGGCAGCTGTGACCATCTAAACAACGACAACCCCCTTTGCCTATCCAATCCGTGATGTGACGCCACAGCAATACCAAAAAAAGAACGAAGCAGGAACCATTCGACAGAACTTGGGCAGGTGCGACGCTACAGTAGAAAAAAAAAATTGGACGAACCAGGAACCATTCCATAGAACTTTGGGAAACGCGATCCTCCAAGCGAAGACCATCCTCTTGTCTATACAATTAGTGATATGACGTCGCCGTACAAAAAAAAAACTAACGAACCAGGACTCATTCGATAGAACTTGGACAGACACTGCTGTTCGGTCATCCCAAGCAGATCACCTGGTGCACTGCTCCAAGTCTTCCTTTCTCAGCGCCAGGACGGCCCTGAGGTAGGCACCTTCCACCACGTTCTCCTCAGTGAAGCCCACGAACTGCTCGAAGTGAGCCCAGTCGCCCATGCTCCAAGTCGCCCTTTGCAGGGTGTCGGGAGTGTTTGTTAACGGTGTCATGGTGTCGATCGAGGGGACCGGGTGTTGTCGAAACCGACAACGTAAAAAAAACAACAGACCCAAAATTAGCACAGCGTGTTCCTCTCCCATTCATTG